GTGAAAGGTAGATGCTGAGCATTCCTAGTGAATTTAGATGCCGAGCATTCCTAGTGAATGATAGATCGACGTTGGCAGCCTTTGTGCAATGTATAAGGTTAACGTAGTGCAGACTCCACATCTGTAAAGCCTATGCTTTCCACTCGACTCCAGACACAACACCTGTGTTGGACGCGACAAGAGCAATTGTGTCAAGATATGGGCGCCTTTGGACCCACATGGTCAGGAACACCTCCATCACGCAACGTCTCTACAACAATTGGAAAATCATAATAACCTGTGGCTCCTCAACCAGTAATAGATGTACATCATGACTATTTTGACTATTGAGTTTTAACTGATAACTTATTGTTTTAGCATTAGACATCACCATGATCTCCACCACCATCACCACCACCACCATCACTATCAACACCACCATCACTATCAACACCATCATCACTATCAACACCATCATCACGATCACCACTACCATCACCATCATCCACTGAACAATACGTAGCAAGACCGAATGGCAGACTTCACACCTCTGTCCAAGCAGCTACCTTTCGCCTTCGGCAGGATGCAGGTGCTGCCTGCCTTTCTCTTTTCACACAGGAATAAACATCCGCCCTCTAAGGAAACCACCGCATAAAAGGGCACGTGCGTAAGACGAAGGGAGAGAGACACAGCAGACAGGCCAAGACCACTCACGCCCGTGCTTCCCTCCTGACGAAATCGCTGACGATATCTTCCCGCACTCTACGCCGCCACACTCGCCAATCCGGCTCGTCTACCTCGCCAAGTCTTCACGAACCCTCGTCAGCACAACCTTGGAGTCGCCATTCTACTCAGCACCACCAATACTTCCTAGCTACTATTAAAAGTGAGTGTACCTATTAGTGCTAGCTTAACTATTGCCCTCCCTATACCCACCCACATATTGCATACAAGTTGCCTTCTTTCATATTCAAGTACATGCCACTCAACGAACACAAACTACTAACTATATACTACATAACATCTCGCTGTCAACCATTGTTTTTTCAACACAACAAACGAAGTTGATTTTATGCCCGGCTCATAGCCGTAAACGAAGGAATCCTGCACCCGACACACACTCATATGATTGAAACGCTGAGACGCGCACTCTTAGCATTAAGTTCAGGCCCAGCTGCCTATATGTTCGAAGCGTAATTACTTGCCTATTTAGCCCCAAAAAATGTAATTTCCATTAATTTTTCTCTCTTCAATATGATGGTACTCAACTGAACTCGCTAATCCTGATAAATCCAAGTAATTAACACCCACTTACTCGACACGTTGTGACAAAATTGCCCTTATGCTCTCATTTTTTTCTTGGAACTTAGTAAGGTGGTTGATAAACACATTATTATCCTCCTCCTTAGCCCTTTTACTGGCCTGATACACTTATATTTCAGCTTCTGAAGATGATTGACTCTCCCCGCTTCTGAATGTTGCACCTCAGTGCGAAACCTCCACCACACCCACTACCCTGGCACGCGACAACGCTAGCGACCATCGGATCACCAGGAACCATCTGTAGATAGCAAACAGAACCTGTATCCCTATGTGCAGTGTTTCAAGCGTTGCAGACGGCTCTAAGACGAGCTTCACACATGGCCGAGCGATGTGAACAATATGTAGCAAGACCGGATGGCAGACTTCACACCTCCGTCCAAGCAGCTACCCTACTCCTTGGGCAGGACACAGGTCCTGCCTGCCTGTCTCTTTTCGTAGAGAAATAAACATCCGCCCTCCAAGGAAACCGGCGCATAAAAGGGCACGTGCGTAAGACGAAGGGAAAGAGACATGGCAGATAGGCCAAGACCACTCACACCCGTGCTTCCCTCCTGACGAATTCGCTGACGATATCTTCCTGCACTCTACGCCGCCACACTCGCCAATCCGGCTCGTCTACCTCGCCAAGTCTTCACGAACCCTCGTCAGCACAACCTTGGAGTCGCCATTCTACTCAGCACCACCAATACTTCCTAGCTACTATTAAAAGTGAGTGTACCTATTAGTGCTAGCTTAACTATTGCCCTCCCTATACCCACCCATATATTACATACAAGTTGCCTTCTTTCATATTCAAGTACATGCCTCTCAACGAACACAAACTACTAACTATATACTACATAACATCTCGCTGTCAACCATTGTTTTTTCAACACAACAAACGAAGTTACAAACTGAGATCAAACCCAAGTGACACACACCACACCTCACACCTCATCCCCCTTTCCTAACTATATTTTAATTGTTATGATATTTTTCTGCTATTGAACCCAGCCATCGGGGGAGCAAGCCAGCTCAATTCAGTGCCGGTCCCAAGCCCGGATGAATGGAGAGGGTTAGCGGCAGGAAGGGCATCCGGCTGTAAAACTCTCCATTTTGGGGTTTTGGCAAAGTCGACAACCAGTTTGAAAACGGCTGACCAGGAACAGCGACCCCGTATAGAAACGGGAGAAAACTGAGGAAGATTTCTCTGCTATTGGTGTTCTATCTAATGTCTATTTTTATTGTCCTCACATTGCAGATTATTATATTTTATTTTCTGCCAGAACAAATAACTGTGTATTGATTTGTTCGTTTTTTCCCCTTTATGTTATTCATATTTACGATTTTCGTTATAATATTGTTTTCGCCTGCATACTGTACCCTAATGATAAGTGCTTCGTTACTACTTCCTCTATGAATGTGCGTATATCGTTCTGTCTTTCACAACACCTGTATTTTCTTATACTTCCCAAGCTAATCATTTGCTTTTTCACACATAGTTTTAAGATACATGTCGATCCTAAAACTGTCTTTGGCCCAAACCCACATACCTGCCCACTCCTCACGGATTTCACTCCAGGATTATGAATTTTACTAAGTGCCATCCTTTGGACTTTTAACTGAACCCAAATCGCTTTTATGACGTTCTCTCGAAGTTCGATATCTTAACCTCATCTATGCTAGAATTTATGCTTCTTTAGTTTAAGGAATAGGTGAATATGTAACCTGTATATGACTGATGGTAGTCTCTTCTGTTGCAAATAATCATAACGCTAGGTTATGCACTACAGACACCATACTTCATATAGGCTTACATAATTATTATCAGTGCAAGTTAATTTTAACCTCGGCTCATGGCCGTAAACGAATGAATCCTGCGCCCGCCGCACCGAGATGTTACTTACGCTCATACGATAGAAGCACCCGAAACGCGATTGTTAGATTATTACCGCAAGTTGATTTTATGCCCGGCTCATAGCCGTAAACGAAGGAATCCTGCGCTCGACACACACGCTCATACGATTGAAGTGCTGAGACGCGCATTCTTAGCAGTAAGTTCAGGCCCAGCTGCCTATATGTTCGAAGCGTAATTACTTGCCTATTTAGCCCAAAGATATGGAATTCTCCCATTAATTTTTCTTCAGTATGATGATACTCAACTGAACTCGCTAATCCTGATAAATCCAAGTAATTAACACCCACTTACTCGACACGTTACTCTTCTTGCGACAAAATTGCTCTTATGCTCTCATTTTTTTCTTGGAACTTAGTAAGGTGGTTGATAAACACATTATTATCCTCCTCCTTAGCCCTTTTACTGGCCTGATACACTTATATTTCAGCTTCTGAAGATAATTGACTCTCCCCGCTTCTGAATGTTGCACCTCAGTGCGAAACCTCCGCCACACCCACTACCCTGGCACGCAACAACTCTAGCGACCATCGGATCACCAGGAACCATCTGTAGATAGCAAACAGAACCTGTATCCCTATGTGCAGTGTTTCAAGCGTTGCAGACGGCTCTAAGACGAGCTTCACACATGGCCGAGCGATGTGAACAATATGTAGCAAGACCGGATGGCAGACTTCACACCTCCGTCCAAGCAGCTGCCCTACTCCTTGGGCAGGACACAGGTACTGCCTGCCTGTCTCTTTTCGTAGAGAAATAAACATCCGCTCTCCAAGGAAACCGGCGCATAAAAGGGCACGTGCGTAAGACGAAGGGAAAGAGACACGGCAGATAGGCCAAGACCACTCACACCCGTGCTTCCCTCCTGACGAAATCGCTGACGATATCTTCCCGCACTCTACGCCGCCACACTCGCCAATCCGGCTTGTCTACCTCGCCAAGTCTTCACGAACCCTCGTCAGCACAACCGTGGAGTCGCCATTCTACTCAGCACCACCAATACTTCCTAGCTACTATTAAAAGTGAGTGTACCTATTAGTGCTAGCTTAACTATTGCCCTCCCTATACCCACCCACATATTGCATACAAGTTGCCTTCTTTCAAATCCAAGTACATGGCACTCAACGAACACAAACTACAAACTATATACTACATAACATCTCGTTGTCAACTATTGTTTTTTCAACAAAATAAACGAAGTCACAAACTGAGATCAAACCCAAGTGACACACCACACCTCACACCTCATCCCCCTTTCCTAACGACATTTTAATTGCTATGATATTTTTCTGCTATTGGTGTTCTATCTAATGTTTATTTTGATTTTCCTCACATTGCAGATCATTATATTTTATTTTCTGCCAGAACAAATAACTATGTATTGATTTGTTCGTTTTTTCCCCTTTATGTTATTCATATTTACGATTTTCGTTATAATATTGTTTTCGCCTGCATACTGTACCCTAATGATAAGTGCTTCGTTACTACTTCCTCTATGAATGTGCGTATATCGTTCTGTCTTTCACAACACCTGTATTTTCTTATACTTCCCAAGCTAATCATTCGCTTTTTCACACATAATTTTAAGATACATGTCGATTACCTACCTGTCTTAGGCCCAAACCCACATACCTGCCCACTCCACACGGATTTCACTCTAGGATTATGAATTTTACTAAGTGCCATCCTTTGGACTTTTAACTGAACACAAATCGCTTTTATGACGTTCTCTCGAAGTTCGATATCTTAACCTCATCTATGCTAGAATTTATGCTTCTTTAGTTTAAGGAATAGGTGAATATGTAACCTGTATATGACTGATGGTAGTCTCTTCTGTTGCAAATAATTATAACGCTGGTTATGCACTACAGACACCATACTTCATATAGGCTTACATAATTATTATCAGTGCAAGTTAATTTTAACCTCGGCTCATGGCCGTAAACGAATGAATCCTGCGCCCGCCGCACCGAGATGTTACTTACGCTCATACGATAGAAGCACCCGAAACGCGATTGTTAGATTATTACCGCAAGTTGATGTTATGCCCGGCTCATAGCCGTAAACGAAGGAATCCTGCGCTCGACACACACGCTCATACGATTGAAGCGCTGAGACGCGCATTCGTAGCAGTAAGTTCAGGCCCAGCTGCCTATATGTTCGAAGCGTAATTACTTGCCTATTTAGCCCAAAGATATGGAATTCTCCCATTAATTTTTCTTTCTTCAGTATGATGATACTCAACTGAACTCGCTAATCCTGATAAATCCAAGTAATTAACACCCACTTACTCGACAGGTTACTCTTCTTGCGACAAAATTGCTCTTATGCTCTCATTTTTTTCTTGGAACTTAGTAAGGTGGTTGATAAACACATTATTATCCTCCTCCTTAGCCCTTTTACTGGCCTGATACACTTATATTTCAGCTTCTGAAGATGATTGACTCTCCCCGCTTCTGAATGTTGCACCTCAGTGCGAAACCTCCGCCACACCCACTACCCTGGCACGCGACAACTCTAGCGACCATCGGATCACCAGGAACCATCTGTAGATAGCAAACAGAACCTGTATCCCTATGTGCAGAGTTTCAAGCGTTGCAGACGGCTCTAAGACGAGCTTCACACATGGCCGAGCGATGTGAACAATATGTAGCAAGACCGGATGGCAGACTTCACACCTCCGTCCAAGCAGCTGCCCTACTCCTTGGGCAGGACACAGGTACTGCCTGCCTGTCTCTTTTCTCAGAGAAATAAACATCCGCCCTCCAAGGAAACCGGCGCATAAAAGGGCACGTGCGTAAGACGAAGGGAAAGAGACACGGCAGATAGGCCAAGACCACTCACACCCGTGCTTCCCTCCTGACGAAATCGCTGACGATATCTTCACGCACTCTACGCCGCCACACTCGCCAATCCGGCTCGTCTACCTCGCCAAGTCTTCACGAACCCTCGTCAGCACAACCTTGGAGTCGCCATTCTACTCAGCACCACCAATACTTCCTTGCTACTATTAAAAGTGAGTGTACCTATTAGTGCTAGCTTAACTATTGCCCTCCCTATACCCACCTACATATTACATACAAGTTGCTTTCTTTCATATTCAAGTACATGCCACTCAACGAACACAAACTACTAACTATATACTACATAACATCTCACTGTCAACCATTCTTTTTTTTTAACACAACAAACGAAGTTACAAACTGAGATCAAACCCAAGTGACACACCACACCTCCTTCCCCTTTCCTAACGATATTTTAATTGCTATGATATTTTTCTGCTATTGAACCCAGCCACCGGGGGAGCAAGCCAGCTCAACTCAGTGCCGGTCCCAAGCCCGGGTGAATGGGGAGGGTTAGCGGCAGGAAGGGCATCCGGCTGTAAAACTCTGCCAAAACCCCAAAATGGAAAGTCGGCAACCAGTTTGGAAACGGCTGACCAGGAACAGCGACCCCGTATAGAAACGGGAGAAAGCTGAGGAAGAAGATTTCTCTGCTATTGGTGTTCTATCTAATGTTTATTTTTATTGTCCTCACATTGCATATCATTATATTTTATTTTCTGCCAGAACAAATAACTATGTATTGATTTGTTTTCCCCTTTATTATAACGAAAATCGTATATATGCATAACATATTGTTTTCGCCTGCATACTGTACCCTAATAATAAGTGCTTCGCTACTACTTCCTCTATGAATGTGCGTATATCGTTCTGTCTTTCACAACACCTGTATTTTCTTATACTTCCCACGCTAATCATTTGCTTTTTCACACATAGTTTTAAGATACATGTCGATTACCTTTCTTAGGCCCAAACCCACCTACCTGCCCACTCCACACGGATTTCACTCCAGGATTATGAATTTTACTAAGTGCCATCCCTTTGACTTTTAACTGAAACCAAATCGCTTTTATGACGTTCTCTCGAAGTTCGATATCTTAACCTCATCTATGCTAGAATTTATTCTTTAGTTTAAGGAATTGGTGAATATGTAAACTGTATATGACTGATGGTAGTCTCTTCTGTTGCAAATAATTATAACGCTGGTTATGCACTACAGACACCATACTTCATATAGGCTTACATAATTATTTTCAGTGCAAGTTAATTTTAAACCCGGCTCATGGCCGTAAACGAATGAATCCTGCGCCCGACGCACACTTTACGCTCATACGATTGAAGCGCCGAGACGCGAACTCTTAGTATTAAGTTCAGGCCCAGCTGCCTATATATTCAAAGCATGATTACTTGCCTATTTAGCCCAAAGATATGGAATTCTCCTCCCATTAATTTTTCTCTCTTCAA